AGAGCTCCAGCAGCTAGCGATTATATGAATTCAGTACTTGGGCAGACTTGGTGTAAGTATCTCGCTCGTCTTAATCTAATCGCCTCGAAATCGCGAAACAGTTGTAATGGAGTCTCTTCCATCGAATCACAGAAGCGACCTAGGTCATTCGACCAGAGTCCTAGCTTATGCAACTGTCCCCTTAGTCGGCAGTGACCCGTCAGAAAACCTGTTATTATGCTTATCCTCTCTTTGGGGAGGTTTATGATTGTCCTGTACCTTGTAACATTGTAGCCTCCAAGCATTTAGTCTGACGTGGTCTGACGTAGACCTACCGGTCTGCCTTATCGTTATCGTCAACGCCTATGTGAACTTATACTCAAATAAGTTGGAGAACATTTTGCTCCGCCAGGGCGTTAAGCATTTCAATGCCCTCAAGGACAAAGGAGGACTTAACCTCAAATGATGACAGGGCCTTGAGTTAATCTCTGCCCTTGTACTAATGGCATAGAACTCCGCTGGAAAGGATGCTCGGGTATGCTCCCATAGGTATCGAGAGCTTAAGTCTTAGTGTCAGTCCTACGTTGCCTGCACCAATGCCTGGGCGGCATCTTTATACCATTGCAGCGAGCCAGCTCGTATACATATGTCTCTCCATAAAGGAAGTACTCCAAGTTGCCTTGCTGCAAAACCTTACCTCGAATTTTCAATTAAACACTACTGAATTAATTTTATCATCCCTGCGGAATCTATTCCCCGATTATAAGGTGTTACCTCTGCCAAAACCTTCTCTTGTGATGTTTAGCGGAGTTCAATTTGCTGCTTGTTCTGTGGTAAGATGAAGCGGCTCAACCTGCCCGCTGCCGTCGGGCATGTGCGCCCAGCAGCTAAGTACAAGGTCACTAGAATGATGGTAAACCTCGTCAAAAACGGCCACCGAATGCAGACAAATTCTTAAGAAATTAAAATTAATCTTACTACCTACATTGTTTGGGTACCAGATCATAGAGACGTAAAAGGTTATTGCAAAGCAGACGAGCTTGCGAGGAACGGAACCTCTCTGTCTGACGTCAATTCATCTGACGATGCGGGCATACCGCTATCTAGCTACAAATCATTACTTAAATCTCACTTCTTTCAGAAACACAAATAAAATGTGGTCGGAAGGACGCAAGTGTACGAAGACCCAACAAATCCAGCCCAACTTCGAAAAGAAAACGTCCGACTACCTCATTCGACTGGAACAGCCTCGACCAAAATCCTCTATCGGCTGCTAGAACCTAACCCAAAGTAATCTGAAGTCTTCGATCCATATTATACTTAAATTTCAAATTATCCTAACTTTAGCTTCGTATTTATTTTGTAAAAATAATACATAAATCTAAGAACGAAACCAAAACAACTAAATACAAACGTAAATAATAAGTACAAGTACATTACAAGAGATAATACACAGTAAGGGTTTTGGTAGAATTGTAAATTAAAATATTTCGATTTTCATGACTTTCATACTTAATTCCAAACGTAAACTAAACTACTTATGTAGATGCAAGCGTTCCATTTGTTGCTTCTCATTCTCTTTCCCGTAAGCGATTTCACTGCATTCGTATATGGTTTTTGGCTTCAACATGAACAAACGTCCACACAAAATAACAGAACTTGCAGAAACAAAACAACTGACGGTAATTGCAAGTTGGCTGCAATCGCAGGCCAGAGAGATTATGTGACATTCCATTCCAGCGCCTTATTGTCGACTTAGCAGCGCTGCAACCAGCGTAAACATCAACGCCGCCACAGACACGCCCAGCGCGCTGCTACCATTGCAATTGGAATTCGAGCAGGGTATGCATTTGCTCAGCTGTGTGCCATTGTTCAACGCACGCAGCTGACCACAAACGCTCTCCATGGTGGTGACGCGCGAACAGCCGCGGTCCAACGACGCAGTACCGTTAACTGGAGGGTACGAAAAAATACAAATTAAAAAACAAAAAAATACAAAATAACCAATGGCTAAGTCGTTAACCCAACTCACCCATCTTTTGTACGCTGAAGCAGTGATAGGAGTAGTCATCGGCAACATATGGCAACGCTTGTGGCGCACCAGTGGTGGTGGTTGCATTCAATGCATTCTCAGTGGTGGTGGTTGCATTCAATGCATTCTCGGTGGTGGTGGTGGCATTATCGGCATCCACTTCCTCTGCTTCCGCAACGGCTGAGCCTACTGTTGGTGGTGTGGGTACTGTGGTGGTGGTTGGCGCTGGGCCGACTGTGGATGGTGCCGGTATGGCCTCGGTAGTGGAGCCCGCTGTGGTTGTCTCAACGCTGGTGGTGGTACTCAGCTCTGTTGTTGTGCTACTCTCCGTTGATGTCTCAGTTGAGGTCGTCGTCGTCGTCGTTGTGGTTGGATCAGCGGTGGGCTCCTCTGTTGTACTGACTTTCTCGAAATATGCAGCGTCGCATGCCTCGAGTGGTGTTTCTTTTGTGACCTTGGCACAATCTTCACAAACATAACACATCAGCTGGCGATCGGCGACACTGTTGGCGTTTGAGACTTTGGCGGCGTGGCATGCTGTAAGAAGGGGAAAGTGAGGTTAAGAAATTAATTTTGGGGGAAGTAAAAATTAAATAATATATTTAAATATTGGAGAGTTGTGGCTTGAAACAGCTGATTTTTTTCCATCATTCTTTTTATGTTTTAATAATTTTTGGAAAGCTTTCGATGGAAACGATTGATTTTTTCTATTTTTGTGAGTCTTTTCAATGTTGTTTACGTTTTTGAAAATATTGTAGGGTTTTGAATCGAAAGTAATGGAGAGTTTCGTACTAGAATTATTGGAGATTTTAACTTATACTATGTTCTTCATGTTTTTATAAATATGGGAGAGTTTTTGATTGAAAATATTTAAACTTTTTCATCATAGTTTTGTTTTAAATATATTTTAGGGTGTTGAATCGAGAATATTGGAGAGTTTTCTATAAAAATTTTATGAGATTTCTACTTTTTCAAAGTTTTTTTTATGTATTTATTAATTTCGATTAAAAGTGTTGGACAGTTTTTGATAGAAAATACTGGAAAGTTTCCATTAAAGGATTGGAGAGTTTTTGATGAAAAATATTGTAGGATTTGACTCTTTATACCTTGTTGTTTGTAAATATTTGTGAGTTTATGATTGAATGTTTTGGAGACTGCAACTATTTGAACGGTTTTGCGTTTTGGAAAATCGAGTTTTCTACCATAATTATTTGAGACGTAAACCTTTTCTATGTTTTTTAAGTTTCGATTGAAAATATAGGAGATATTAACTATTTCAACATCTTTACTTTCTGAAAATATTTGAGGGATTTCCATCGAAAATATTGCAGAGTTTTCGATTAAAAATACTGGAGACTTTTACCTTTTGTTAGTTTTCTAGGTTTTAATAAATATGAAGGAGTATCCTATAAAAAATATTGGAGAGTTTTCGAATGAAAAATTGGAGACTTTAACTATTTCGCCGTATTGATGCTTTAAAAATTATTGAAAACTCTCGCTTGAAGCAGCTATTTTTTAAACGACTTTTTATGATTTTAAAAATATTCCAGCCTTTTGTTTTTGAAAAAAAATGAATTTTCTCCATATTTTGGTTATATTTTTATAAATATTGGAGACTTTTCCATTGAAAAAATTATTTTCTTCCCCATCATTTTTGTGTTCGACCAGTCTTGTTTAGCCTCAAAGATGATAAGATTCTTGCTAATGACGCGTCGAACCATAGCTTTAAATTCTTTTAAATGCGCTTCAATTTATTTATGAATTTTCAGGGCTTTTGTTTTAACAGCCCATAATCTTGTGGCATAAAAAGTAGTTAATTACTGTCAATGGAGTTCAAGTTGTTTGCTTTTCAATAGATATTGGAGGCTCAGCAGACTAAATAGTATAACAAAGCTATCATGGACTCAATGATAAGAACTTTAAGGCTGTGGTGAGCTACGCAGTTGTCTTTTAAAAATATTATTAGAGATTTGTAAAAAAAAGAAAATTATGACAGCTAGCGTTAGTTTGTTGCCTGAAGTACACACATACATGCATATGTGTGTACATTTGGACATTAGGGTGGTCCAAAAATGCATGTAGAAAAGTAAAGAGGAATTTTTATGCTCTCACCCCCTGTATTTTATATAGGGAAAAAACCACTTTTCGTGAAATGGTTTTGAATTCTTGAAAATCAGTATTTTACGACCGGAAACCCCTGTTTCTCTTTAGGAGATTGCAGTAATAATACCCAATTATTTTTTTAACCATTTGTTCATAGTCACTATATTTTATAGGTCCGCCAAAACCCCTAAAAATGCTAGAAAAATCAATGGGAGGATATATAAAAAATCTTTAACATTGAAAAATGGTTAAATTGTGAATTGTATATTGTCATTGGAAGTCTTCTGAAGAAAACCTGAGTTTTCCGATCGAAGAAATATTGATTTTCAAGAGTTCCATACCATTTCCACGAAAAGTTGGTTTTGCCCCATATAAAATACATGAAAAACTCTGAGCGCTTTTAGCGACCTCTAAATATTCTTTTATTTCAAAATAAAAGAATAGGGGTATACTTTTTTCGATATAGAACAATTCTAGGGGGGTGAGAGCATTAAAATTTCGACTTTATTGTTTTTGTACCACCCTAATGGCCATACGCGTTAAACGCGTTGGATTTTTTCCAGGAATGGAAAAAGTCTTACAATTTTAACTAGTTTTGACAGAAACGTACTAAGAAAGATTTTAGTACTTGACAGGTAAAGCAAAGTTGGGTACTATGTGTTTAACATGCGAGAATAGTCGCTGTGATAAAATGGCGTATGTAATTTTGAGACGATTATTTCAAAGTCGAGCAAACATATGAAGGGGTTAGAATCAAAACAACCAGATCTCAGACGGAAGTCTTCGAAATCGAAGTCTGTGTTTGAGAATGTCTTCGGAGAAGGACAAACGCAGCCAAAATAGATATTATGTCTGGCATAGTCAGGCAGCACTAGAGGCCTTACCCTCATTTAGAATGGCATCAAGGCTTGTGAACAGTTGTAAAACTCTTTTGAACAGCTTAAGAACCCATAAGAGAGTGACGCTGTGATGGATCCCTGAGCATGAAGGCTTTAAAGGCAAAGAAAGGGCTGACTGTCTTGCAAAATGTGAAGCCCTGCTATGTACAGCTATGAAATTTTTACACAACATAGAATAACAGGTTTTATATTGGATTATAACACAATTGAGTTATATAAGCGATATGAAAGTTTCTTCAGAGTAAAAATTAAATTAATTAACAAACAAAAACAGACAAAGGTATGAAAACTGAAAATTTTTTTCAAACTCTGAGATTTTTCTGGCAAACCCTGAGACCCGAGATTTAATCGAAAGCTAATGGATCTCTTGGTGAAAAATTCAATCTGGCAACCATACCATATCCTCAGGTCGAAGATCGCCGCAAGGTGCTTATACCCTGCAGAAAACACCTAAAATGGATAATAATATTACAGAAGTTTCCTTAACTCTTTGAGGACCAGCAAAAATTGTGAACCAGAGTACTAGTGAACTTGACATTGAAGATGAAGACAAATTCGGTTTCAATCGATTATTCAATTACCATTGCTGAGACCGTAAAATGTAAAAATTCAAGTGTTTTTTAATGTTTGGAATGAGAATCTAAGCATGAGAACAGAACCAAAAAAAAAAATTTTTTTTGTTGACCGGTGTAATAAATATATACAATTGTTTGATACTCAAAAATTTATCTATTGGAGGTCTCTATGAAGCCATTCGTCTGAACCATTAAGCACTTCCCTACGTACATACATATCGTTGTCTGAATATAGAAAGGCCCTAACTCATTTTTTTCTCGAAATTGGGCATTTCTATATTAAGGTAACAATATGTATGTGTTTACTTGTTTTTATAATTTATATTAAAAAAAAAGGTAAGCAGAGTAGAACAATATTTTTTTTTTTTCGTTATATGTACCTAGAGTATGGTAATTTTGGTTTCCCAGCTATTTGTTGATCTTCACTATCTTCATGACAACTTCAACATCTGTCATTCTCTCTCTGTTTGCCTTCAAAGCAACGATAGCACAAAGAGCCAAGGTAAGCAGTGCATTCACTGAGATAAATATTTGTATGTATAAATATATTTTAATAACAAAGAACAAAGGAAAAGTTAACTTCTTAGGATGATGATTGACATTGGCGAATGAGGGTTCTTTTTATGAGTTTATAGTATTTTAACTGATTTTTTTTACGTTACTTCAGTGAACAGACATTTGTGTACCGGAGGAAGCCAATTTACTGAGATAATGGTCAACAGTGACAACAGTTCTCTACGCAGTGATTTTGGTACCAGAGAAAGAGGAAGGCCTCCTGTGCTCGGAAGGACCAGATGGAGAAGGACTTGGCTTCTTGGCATTTCAAATCGGCCTCAGTTAGCACAGAAGAGAAATTATGGGTGTACTTTGTGTGGTGTCGGCCAAAATCGGCGTCCAAGGAGAAGAAGAAGAAGAAGAAGAAGAAGAAGAAGAAGAAGAAGAAGA